AAATTAAATAAGAAAACAGCGCAGGAAATAAATAAACATCTGCTACGTCCATCAGATTCTTCGATGAATGCTAAACACACACATAAAAGGTTCCACCACACAGCTAGTAAGCTGAGTATAAAAGAGATGCGCAGTTCTAGTTGATTAGTTTGCATTCTGCATTCGAAGTGAATGCTCGCATCGGACAAAATGGTTTTCACAAGATCGATGACAAAACGTATCGAAGCGATTACCAAAGGTAATCCGATTGATTATTATTTGAGCCGAAAAATACAAACACGAGCTGTTGCGGCAATCATCAAAATCATTTTCCCGACCAGTGAACGAGTCAAGCGTCCACGAATCCAACGAAGACTAAGCCAACCAACGCCACAACGGGCACCAGAAGAACTGGGACGAAACCTCCGTCGACGCGCAATGAGCCAACCACAAGTAAACTGGTGTTATTGCAACGGACCAGATATTGGCACGATGATGATTTGTTGCGACAATTTGCGATGTCAAAGAAAAGGGTACCACATTGATTGCCTTGGCGAAAAAGTCGACGTCAATGATGCATGGTTTTGCCGAGATTGCTTATGAAAAATTCTTTTTTTCCCAATATATTTCAATAAAAATCAAAATGAATAAAGACTAGAGCAAAATAAAAAAAAACAAAAAACAGTATATGTAAAGAATTTTTAAAATCAAATAAGAATCCTTTCTTAAATTACGATACCGTTTCAAAGCAGACCGCCAATAATGATGTAATTTCATTGATCTTTTACATACTGTCATATTGAAGGCACTCAGATATTGCCGGTCGGTCTTTTTTGCACTTTATAAAATATATGTGCAATTCAAATATCAATTCATCTCTTTTCTAGAAGTGACAACGAAGTAGTTGATTTTAGGATTTGGTCAAAATGCACACAGAAGTTCGAAATGTCGATTGATCAGAGCCTGGCTTCAGGCCACCACTATTGTGGCGCTCGTTGCGGTAGCCTCGGTAAGTAGCGTCGTTGCCAATGGTTGTCAACAACCCTATCGGGAGACTGGCACATTCGAAATTGTGCCATTTTAAACATAACCTCAAAGTTTGTTGTGTCAAGTGCAACGCATTGTTTCCCGTTGTTAGATATTAGTGCAATAAAAATAAAAATGTTTGATGACAATTGTAATGATTTTGATAATATTTTGATTTATTTTTCGTGCAAATTGTGAAAAAAATTATTTCTTTCTTAGGTGACTTGACAAATTGTGATGAAGCTGCTATTCTTCGTAACTTGGAATTTCGGTTTGGAAATAAAAAGATTTACGTATGTTTTTCAGCGCATTGGACTATATTCAATCATAATAAATATAAATTCTCATTTTTATGTTAGACATTCAATGGGAAATTATTAATCGCGTTGAATCCTTGTGAAGAAATGCCTTTGTACTCGGACGATGTGATGTGGAAATACCGCACAGAAGATATTCAATCACTACCACCGCACATCTTTTCTATTGGTATGAAGCTACGAAATATTGTAAATTCTAAATTGAATAATAACCTCTATTTTTCGTTTGAATTTAAGGAATCAGTGCACTGAACAAAATGAACAGCAATAGAAAATCACAATGCATCGTTATAACCGGTGTATCTGGCTCCGGCAAAAGTGTCACAGCCAACTATTTGACACAATTTCTGTATGGAGATGTTAGCAACTACGCCGAACAAATCAACACAGTTTTGGATTATTTTGGGAACTGTGAAACTGCACAAAACCACAACAGTTCCCGATTCGTCAAGCTATTAAAGGTGTATCCTGCTGGTGAACACAAAAAGATTCAAATTTCTTATCAACTTTTTGAGAAAAGTCGTTTACCAATGCAATGTAAGACATCTGGAACAAATTTTAATGTCTTTTATTCTCTATTTAACGCTCCGATGGATATGAAAGACAAGTTGAAAATTACACATTTTTCGGTAAGTTCATTGTATTGTATTATTTTGTTTTAATGTTGTTTGTTCAATGCGCTTCAATGATTGTCATCAATGACGTAAACTGCAGTAAAATGGTATGTTTTCATGTTTTGTTTGGACGCGTATCAACGCTTATACATGCGCAAATTGATATGTTAAAGATAACAGTTTACGCTTGTACACGTAAATAAGACAGTGAAGAACAGCTGAAAGCAGCAGAAAGCAGTTCAGCTTCAAAACATTTAACATTATTTATTATTATTAATATTACAGATTTTACCGACAAAAGAAATGAATATGAAAAACAGCTTCGCCGAATTGGACTCGGCACTCAAAGCATTGGGATCAGACATGCGAGAATCGATATATACTATACTTGCAGCAATCCTGCATTTGGGAAATGTAAATTTTACCACAAACAATGAAGATTTCGCGCAGATCAGTGATGGTTCAAAACGTAGTGTTCAATACGCTGCTGATCTTTTGCACACAGACGCCAATAACTTGGAGCAAGTTCTTCTACAACGCACTATGAATGTATCAAGTAATCAAAATGATTCGATTTTGTATGTATAACCGACAATCACCGACTTGTTCGGTAACGGATTGTTTAATTTTAAAACAAACACATTGTTTGTTTTTTATGTTGTAGAATGCGATTCAATAAATTAGCTGCCATTAGAACGAGAGATTCCATGATTAAATTAATTTATGCCGAGATATTTAGATCTGTGATCGAAAAAATCAACGGGTCGGAAGTAATTGACACTCAGCAATACATAGCAATTTTAGATATTGCTGGATTTGGTATAAGACAAAATTATTTCTATTCAACGCAATGTAGTAATCATAATTTTTCTATAATTTCAGAGTGTTTCTTGCACAACTCATTTGAACAAATGTGCATAAACTTCATCAATGAAAAAGTCCGAAAATTTGCAACAAAACGAATGATCACAGATGAAATCAATTGGTACAAGATTGAATGTGTAGAAGTGCCACAAATTGATTTTTTGGACAATCAAAATGTTATTGGTAAATTAATTTATTGGTCCTCAAATAATTACAATTTGGTAAAATCATTTTTTACTTGCAGATTTAATGGATAAAATATTTACAGTGTTAGAAGACGAAAGCAAAAAACGTTCTCCATCAGAAAGCAATTTTTTGAAAGAACTAGAGCTAATGACTTGTTCAAACAAAAATTCATTGAGTATGAAAATCGAAAATTCTATCCAATGCTTTGTAATTAATCATTTTTCGAAGAAAGTTTGCTATTCATCGGTAAGCAAAATTAATTTTCCCATTCAATTGAATTGTTTGATAGGGTTAACCATACCAAATTGATATCAATCTTATTTTTTTATTTTATTCCATAGGAGCATTTTGTCGAGAAAAATATCGAATTTATATCAACAAATATTCAAACAATGATCGACGAGTGCCTAAATGGTTTTGGTTTAAAAGTCATTGAAAGTACATGCCGATCAAAATCAGCCATTGCTACCATAAAGAGGGATTTGGCTGCTCTGATGTCCAAACTTGACGAAAATGTTCGTATATTTTCATGTCTTTTCATTTTACAAAATTGTAATTAGCCAATAAGAATTTCGTTCGTTGTAATTAGCATTGATTGACTTGAATAGATTTTAATGAATTATTCTCTTTGAATCTTTTGTTTAAAGGAATCACACTTCATTCATTGCATAAAACCTTGCGGTGAAAAGCTATCAAACAAATTTGATGGAAGTTTTGTTGCAACCCAGTTAAATACAATTGGCGCCGTGCCAATTGTCAATTTGATACGACATGGATATGCGGCTCAATTTCCATGCAACCAACTTGTTGCAAAATTGGAGCCGCATATCTCAAACAAGGCCAGAAATTATACCAAAGAACTTTGTTGTGACGTGCTCAATGTATTGGGCTGTGAACGAAGTTCATTCACAATCGGGCGAAACCAAATATTGTTCAGAGCAAAATCTGAAAAATATGTTGGCATCTTATTTCATTTGGATGACGAAACGGCGAAGAATCTTGCAAAGGTAGCAAACCAAAAATTTTATAGTCGCCAACACAACGCATTGAAAATTATCTGTCGATTCCTTGGAACATTACTTGTTGCCTTGAAGAAGCTCAAAGAAAGAAGTATTGAAATGATCATTCCAAATGTTTTGGCATTGGATCAGTATCAAAAGCAACCGCAAATTATACAGCAGCAACCAGAGCAGACTGTACTTGGTGATCATCATGAGGTCGACACATCACGAATACATGGCATTGATTCTTTACAAATTATCACCGACGATGATTTTGATGGCAGTAGTTTTGGCCGTGAAAATTTCACATATACACCAGTTGAAGAAATATGTCATCAAACACAACGCATTGGATTGAAGTATGTTTCCATTAAACGCGATCCTTTCTTTCTATTTCTATACATATCTAAAATTTGATGATTGTTGATTTTTAGCGCATCAAACATTCAGTCAGATGACTTCGACGATGCATGCGATTCATTATTCCACGATCATTCCTACGTACGTTGGTCGAGAAACGATTCAATTACCTCTTCAAATCCCATGTCTAAACCACAAACATCGAGAGAAGTACGACCATGTGACTTGGTCCGATATGACGATGTAGATCATGCGATGCTAAAAACTGACAAAAGACAGCGTTGTAAAAATGAAGGCTGCCGTTATAAATCGTACATGCTTTGTACTAAATGTAACGTCCATTTATGTTCTACATTAACAAGAGACTGCTTTGAAATTTTTCATAATGGTTCATAAGATCATTAATTAGATGCATTTGAATAAACAACGCGCTGTATTGTTGAATAAGGTTTTCCTCGATTTAAGTTATACGTTTGCAACCGTGTAGATGAATTCAATTGAAACATTAATAAAATAAGAATTAATAGATAATAAAAATCATTAACAAATAGTAAAAATTTCTTATTATCACCAAGTAGTCCCGTCTGACATTATTGTTGCATTGGATTTGGCACCGACAAAAAAACGATTTATGTACTGGAAAGAAAGAGAAAGTGTGGAAAAATTGTTTGCTCTGCCGTCAAGGGATATTCTAGCCAGAGAATTGTGGAACAACTACCAACGAAGTTTGACACTATGCATTGAAACCATAATGAGACGAAAGTCCTTGTACCATGATCATCCATACGTACGTAGAGACTCTTCAATTGAAAATCAAATTACCTATTCAAATCCACGAGAATTAGAAACGCCAGATGCTTTGGCTTCGGATCAGTATCAAGAGGAACCGCAAGTTATACAGCAGAAACCAGAGCAGGCTGTACTTGATGATCATCATGTGGCCGAGACATCACGAATACAAGGCATTGATTCCTTACAAATGATATGCCGTGAGTATTTCACATATTGAATGTGATGATTCACATGATTTGAATGCAAAAATTCTCACGGTAATTTTTTTTTCCTCCTCAACATTTTCATAAACAGAAGAGCCAGCTGCTGATCTATTTGAAGGCGATTCATTTGTCGATGCACTATCCAATTCACAATTAATTGAAAGTGATGGTGGTCGAAATATAGGAGCACGATCAATTGCATCAAGGTGAGTAGTACTAGTAATACATAGAACGTTTGATAAAACAAAGTGATGATAATGAATATACAAATATATTTTTATTTAGTTTTGCTGGCTTGGAACGTCAAACATCAACGCAAGTTGGAATATCACACATGTTGGATATGAGAGCGTCGCCAACGCAATCGTTGCACGTTCAAGCTACGGCATTTCAGCAAACACAGTCGACTCTACTCTCAAATGTTGATGCGATAGCTACACAAGCTGAAAATGCTCCCATCGATCACCAGTATGTCTACTTTTTAGAAGAGATGCCATTGTCCTTCGATGAATCGCAAAATAAAGGGGAACGTACACAAGCCCCGAGAGAAGTAAGGCCATCAGACTTTATTCGGTTCGATCGAATAGGTCATGTTATTTCGGTGTCAACTAGACGGGTACGTTGCAAGCGACTCGGTTGCACCTATATAACCAATAAGATGTGCAGTAAGTGCAACGTGCACTTATGTTTAAAAAAAAGAAAATGTTTCCATAAATTTCATGGCTTTGGATAAACAACGCGCTGTATTGTTGAATAAGTTTTTTTTATTCTTCTATGAATCACAAACGATGCGTTTATTTCACGTTCTTCTTTTGAGCTAATTTTCTTCTATTTAAGTTATACGTTTGCGACTCTGTAGATGGATTCGTCATAACGTTGGTTACAATAGATAAAAAAACATAAACAAATTGTAAAAATGTCTTATTATCGCCAATAATAAATTGTTTTGATTCGCACTTTAAAGAAGCAATCATGTAATGCATAGAAAATTTTAATAAAGTTGTCAACTTTAAAAAAGACGAAAAAAAGGTGGTCAAAGTCGATGTGATATGGTGTTGTTGATTGTTGGTTTAAAAAAGAACAAAAAATATGACCCAAATTGTTTTTATTTCATGGATTTAATAAAGAAAATGATTTGTATCCAACGCATTTTGTATCGTTTGCAACTTTCAACGAAATAGATTTGATTACATTAGATTAATAATGACGCTACCAGACGTTGCATTGAATGATGGAACATTTTCAATTGTCTTCATTGTCATTTTCATCTTCTGATGATGAGTACATCACTGATTGTCGTCTTTTCCTGAAAAAAAAGAAACATGTATTTTTTAACATTATTTTTTTATTATTTAATAAAAATCATCTTACTTTAAAACAGCCTGCAATTCTTTATTCGGTGCTGGATTGGCAATCAGTTGAAGCTGTTTTTGGGGGACCGTTTGAATGTTCTTCGGTGGTTGAATTGGTGATGCCTTACTTGTAC